ACAGAGAAACCTAAGGCATTTCTTTAGTGCTCTTTTACATAATGAGGTTTGTATAATTGGTTACAGGTTGCTGTGTAAACATATGTAATAGTATAACTAGGTGTTCTTGTAGTGTCAGTTCAAATAGTAAGGAGTTTCTAACATTGTTTAAAGGGTCAGTCTAACACAGAGTCATATTTTATTATCTTATAGTATTTTTACAGGTATTACACTGAATCTTCTCTCTGCTGTATCACTTTTAGCTATAACAAGAAACAGCAAAGCAAGAAATTGTCCTCAAACAGTGTATCCTATTTCAGCTGTGCTTCTTGGCATTGTCTGTTAGCTTGCTTTGTCTAACTGAAACCTCAGATAGAGATTTCCCCTAATCTCCTGTTCTGGTGACAACAGTACAATTTCACATTTCCTGTCATTTTGTGTCCCAGTGACAAAGATCTCCAGGTAAAATAGAGGGCGTATCTCCTTAGCGGGGGCATAGACATCAATAACAACCTAACTACTGTTTTAACTCCCTGCTGTATCCAAAATGAAAACTAAAACTTGCTATACGTACTTTGAAAATCAGGGGCAACAGCACATTATATGTATATCTAGAATCTGTTTTGTTAAAATGTTTTCGTCACCAAAGTTTTTGTTTTTGTTACCAAGAAAGTTTACAACAGAAAAACTTACAGTAATAGGAAGTCCAAACAGATTTTCTTGTACGTTGTTTACCATGCGATTGCATCCGCTGCTATCAATGGCTCCATGTGCATTATAAGGTCCACTTCCTGAGCCTATTCAGCAATGGGGAATTGTTTATGCCATTTTCTGGGTGCCTCTAATGGTATGGTATATACAAAGATAAGATTGTATTCTAAAATGTGTGCATTCGTGTGCATTCCCACCAAATAAGGGGCATAGTTTCTTTATATGTGAGGCATATCCAACACCTCTCTGTCACGCTTAGGATGAGAGAATGGAGCTCTGAGCGGCAGCAGTACTACCACATGAGTATTTTTTTCTTTCTGTGCTTTACAATTTATAGTTGAGAGAGAATGGTTTCTCCCACTCTTCTAAGGAAGGGCTTATGTTTAGTTCCTGTTCCTGCGGGCACGCTGAGTTGGCTACTGTGAGAAGCATGTTATAGAGCCAGGAGTTTATGGATTTGGGTGGCCCTCTTGAAGCCAAAGTTTCATGAATGGGATCTGCAACGACACATTTTTATTGCATTTATCCCAGTTTTTGCTTTCTCACCATATAGCACAGTTTCTGTTGAACAAAACAATGAATGACTTAGCTGACTGCACACATTTAAAATATAGATATTCATAATTTGTTCTGTATCATGGTGATTTCTAAATATTATTCTTTATATTTGCTTTTTTAGAGAAACTTTAGGCATTCCTGTAACACCCTGTCACTTAATCAACATTGTATGCTTGGTTACAGACTGCTTTGCAAACACATATAGTATGTATGTTATAGTATATCTAGGCTATCCACCATTTTCTTGTACAATCTATTCAACAATAGGGTGGTTTAAAACCTTCATTGTATTTGTAGTGTTAGTGAAATGAATCACTTCACAGTTTCTTATCTCTCTTATATTGTCTTGCGACAAAGTCTTACCTTGCCTGCTCCATTCTCAGTAATGTAAAATTAATGAAAAATCCAATAAGTGTAAAAACCTTTTTCAGTGACTAGGAAGGGTGCAAGACCTTGATGTTACTGGCAGGATTCGATTGATAATTTATTGGTTTCAGGGATTTATTTGGGATTAGTTGACAGCGAGGCACACAATTTTAATTAGAAAAAACACTGTGCAATTAGGTAGAAAAATGATACGACCAGAGATACAGTGTATAAAGAAAAACCTAAAGCCACCACTAACTACTCAGAGTGGAAATATCAGTTTTGTGTGAACTGACCATTTAAAGTGACTCTGTAGTCAATTGTAAAACTGAAAAGGAAGTCCTGCCTGCAAAGCAAACACTGCCTGTGCCACTGAACTCCACTGTGTTGAAGAGAGAAGTCTTCTTTCGGGTGTGTTGGATGCCAGGTTCCTTCCATTGGCCCCTATATTACTACTGTGTCCTTTAGTCACATAGGGGGCGGTGCATGAAACCACAGAGCACAACGGTGAGGATGTTCCTAGGAGTGTTGCTTACACAACATCTTTTGGCAAGTTTAGCTCTTCGGAGGAGCAAAGTTGGGTGGCGTGGGCAATGGGGCTGGGAATTTTAAATCAGCTAACTCATTCTAGGTGCATCCAAACAAAAGGTGTGTAGAATCTTACATTTGGTTTTCTTGCACTTACAGTCAGAGTAGAGCCTATCCCTTGCTAGAATGCTGCAGAAAAGGGCCATTGCTCTCTGTGGCGAAGTAGTGGTCTCTCTGCAGTGGTCTGACAACTCCCTGCTGAGTCAGAGCAAGAGTTGTCCAGTCAGCAGGGAGCATGAGTTTTGCTGATTGCTATATGTTTAGCTCAGCAGGGTTGCTTCCATGCAAAGAGCAGGGCTCCTTCTCTGCACAATGCTGGCAGTGGACAGGCATTGCTACTCAGAATGTGGCTGTTTTTTTTTAAAGACAATTGACTGTTAAGGTGCCCATACACCTTACGACTTTTCGTCCGATGATCAAACCGTCGTACGATTTTCGATTAACACTGCGCATCCTGCCCCATCCTGCCCCGATTATCGCAAGGTTCAATCAGCGGCAGTTAAAATTTTTCATATGCGCAGTGTTAATCGTACGACTTTTGACGGACGGAAATGCCACCAACCATGCGAACATCGTACGATCGACCAAAGTTTTCAAACATGCTTGACCGTCAAAAGTCGTACGATTGTACAGTACTATCGGTCGGGCACTACATTCACACGTTACGATTGTCGTACGAAAAGTCGATCGCATACGATTATCATACGATAATCGCAAGGTGTATGGGCACCTTAAGACTTTACACACATTTTGCTTTACTGCACCTGGAATGTATTTAGCTGATTTAAATTGAAAATTCAGTTGGGCTTCAACAATACCTCTCTACTTTTTTCTATTGTGATAAACCCTGATGAAAGGAGTGCATAACTCTCAAAATGCATTGCATTTTGGTGCTTTGTTTTTTTAGTAAAGGCTTACCAGCTGAGAACACAGATGTGTTCAGCATTATTTATGTACATCTTTACTTATCTGGAGGGTAGGGTAGAGTGCTTGCGGTTTTTCCTTTGTGCTTCTTAGGAAAATATTCAAAGTCAGTCCTCAATGAACCGGAAATCAGTGATCATTTGGCAAAATACCAAGAACTCTAAATGATCATCTTTTTGATACACTGTCATCCTGTAGAAAGTACCCAAGATTTTATCTGTCCTCATAACTTTAATTAAACAGAGAAGTATAATTATTTATAAAGCATAGATACATTGTTATGTGTATACAACAGGTATGACCTGTGCCAACACTTGCTCAGAGGAACATAAAAACAAGGGACCTAAAAAAGTAACACTAAAAGAACATTGGGTTACATATTGATCAGAAATGTTATTACTACACACAATACACAGAAATGGCACAGTATGCAAGTATGTTTAGCCCAAACACCAGTAAAATAAGAAAAGTAACAGAATACAGCGTATCTGGAAGGCAATTGTCAGTATTTTCCAACAACCGATCAGATTCCAGCTGACCTATGCGTAGAGCAGGTCAACAAATGACATCTGGATTCTGATTGTTTTAGATAACAGAGGGTCCTTTCATTTACATTTCTCCATATAGTGTCCACTGTAAGGCCCCATTCACACTATGCGACATACCTTTTCCAGCGGATCCGTGCGGCCGGGATAGCGCGACTTTCGGTGTGACGATCCAGCGACGGTAGCGCGACCTTCACCGTCGGGCTCCATTCAAAAATAGAAAAATTGCGCAAAATCTGCCAAAAAGGGGTCCTGCTGGAGCTACAGCGACAAGCGACAGGCGACATGGAGCTAAGACAGATCCATTGATTGAATAGCATTGTCCGACGACTTCTCGCGATATTGCACGGCAAAAATGCGTGATATCGTTGCGGAAATCGCGCGATAAATCGCTTAGTGGGAATGGGGCCTAAAATGAATCCATTGATTCAGTATGTATGTATGTATGTATATACTACTATACAAAAAATAAATAAATATATATATAGATATA